GCAGGCATATATTGTCGTGTGTTCCCGTTAGTTCTATTCGACTATTGACCATGCATATCTGTGAAATAACTCACTGTGATGCACGTGAAACTAATCACTACGATGCTGTTTTTTTCCGTACGTCTATCAAATTTGTATATGTCGGATATTCTATTCAGGTACGTCTCATGAATCTATCCTTCCTCCCTGGCAGGTACAAAATTTGTTCATTAGATAAAATATTTGTATCTCCTCTGAGTTCTCTCGTACTATACATCGTTCCCATCATGTGCCCTTCCCACCACGAACACCCTTTTTTTTCCTGTCCTTTCAACCGCTATCTCGAATACATATAAATCTTCTTTCGACAATTTAGAATCATCACTCTCTTCGACATCCTCGCTATTATCTCACTCTCTCCTCCTTCTCGTCACACATTCCCTACATTTCATAGATTAATATTCATCTCTATACCTGATTGTGTTGTATTCTTGGTACAGTGTATGCATCTACCCTTGATCCCCATCCAAATCGTAGTCATCATCAGACGATCCCGGATGTACGTCCCACATGCCTTCATTCTTGTACTTGCAGTTCATTTTTGTCCTCATAGTAGATCCGCACATGCCGCATTTTTTATCCAGGTACGTCTAATGTATCTTTCCTTCCTTCCTCCCAGGTACCAGACATCGGACAAAATACGTACATTCACACGTACTATCCATCATTTCATGATGTGCTATTCACCACAATACGTATCTCTCGTACATTCGACATCTTCATAGAGATATACGTATCCCGTTGTACTGTCCAGGTACGTTCATGCCCATTCGCAGGCATATATTGTCCTGTGTGCCTGTCAGTTCTTTTCAACTATTGACCATGCATATCCGTGAAATAACTCATTGTAATGCACGTGAAATAAATCACTACGATGCCCTTCTTTTCCGTAGACCTACCACATTTGTATATGTTGTATATACTATATTCCATTCAAGTACGTCGCATGAATCTATCCCTCCTCCCTGCGAGGCACCAAATTTTTCATTAGATATAATATTTGTATCTTCTCTCCCACTATACATTGTTCCCATGATGTGCTCTCCCACACCAAGCTCGTTCCTTCTGCAATTCCACGTCTGCATTCTCTCAACATGTACTGTACCCCTCTGATCTCAATAATCGACAACCCGGCTGTTTTTTAATCACTTTCTATTTTTCCCACCAAAGTCCACCGGCTTTACTCACAATGCGTGCTTTCGGTTGCAGTAAAGGAAGGAGCTTTGTTGAGAATCCTTATCGCTGTGTCTTTAGTATAATACCGGCATGTAATTAATTTTCTTTAACCCTGTTCTTTTTCTTTGTATTATTCTTCTTCTACACTTCCCCATTTCGTTGTTCTCTGTCCTTTCGTATTTTGAATGAGCATTTCCACACCATTTGTTCGTTATTTTGTGAAGTTTTTTCACACCACACCATATCGACATGAATTTCAACAACCAACTATACAATTTTCGTTTTCTTCCTTTGTCTGTCTTCTGTGGCAAACTAATATGTTCCAACCGATGTCTGTTGATTCTTCTCTATGTTTCCAATGTAATTGTACCTGCACAATGGTGAGATTAATCCAATACACAACGATTTGTTGATATTGATGGTTCAATTGTAGTTAGTTGCTCTGTCCATAGATCCACAAATGGTCTCGCCCACGGGATATGTCCATCTACAACTGACGATATAAATATCAATCCATATATATAGGTTTAGACTTTTAGTTCATAACATGCCTTCCATCGACCTTCATATGTTATTATTTTCATCCTCGAGCTTAGTAGGTGTATCATTGCTCATCCCTCACCGATTGACTGTTGTGTAGCCGGTGCCAACCCATCTACCTTCCCGGAATGTCATCTTCAATTGGTTCAAACAATTATGTTGTCTCATCTACGTCATCGTCGTCCGAGCTGTTGTCTTTGTCGTCGCTGCTGCTCAGTCGGTGTATCATTGCTCATCCCTCACCGATTGACTGTTGTATAGTCGGTGCCAACCCATCTACCTTCCCGGAATGTCATCTTCACTTGGTTCATCCAATTATGTCGTCTCATCTACGTCATCGTCGTCCGACCTGTTGTCTTTGTCGTCGCTGCTGGTTGTGATCCGCCCCAAGTCGTTTGGGTCTAATCTTGTCTCCAGGTCCAAATCTCGATTGAAGTCTATGCCTTCATATAGTATGAATCCAGGGATTGTTTACATGGTCGTGATCGCCTGAGGGCTTTTTGTACCGGATATCATGGAGTTTGCACAATTGTTCCAACTCATCGATTCGAAGTCGCAACAACTGCGCGTCAGTAATTGGGGCCATCATGAAATTATGCTGCATTTCCCCTTTGCGTCTGGTTTGATCGCCTGTTTGCGCACCGTCTTCTTTGCAGGGTGTGGTGTTGCGCTCCGTACTGGTCCCATTGATCTCGTCCTCGATGGTATTATAGTGCACCATCTCGCTGGTGTTTTCAGGTTCTTCAATGCTCCCTTGACTGCTGCCAGGTCATACTTCATCAGTTTCATTTCGTTCACTTCACGCTTCATGTCATCCACTTCCCCTCCCATCTTATCCACTATATCCCCATCCTTCTTCGCTGCCTCACTCGTCCCTGGTTGTTTCTCCAGGTGTTGAGGCATCTGTCCCGCCTCACCGTGGCTCGACTTCGGCGGAGGCTGTTTTGGCAACACGACATCTATCGCCTTGTCTATCACGCCTTTCAACTGTTCAACAATTATTGGATCCTTCTCTTTCTTCTTCTCGCTCAGCATCTCGTCCACTTTCTCTGTCACCGGCTCCAGCAATGTCTTGATCTTATCCACTTTTGCTGTAAACCGTGCTTGATTCCCTGATGGAGAGAAATCGTCACACCACGGTTCCTGCAGATATCTTGTGCCACATCTTGGTGATTCCGATTCTTCACATCTCCTTTTAGTGATCTTTGGGGTGCCAGTTTGATCTGATTCTTTGGATACAGGGAATCTTAGCATAAGCCAAAGAAGATCTAGAAGGTTATTGCTTAGAAACAGTGGCCTGCAAGGGCCAGCTCCGCAAGAAATTGGGCAGGCGGGAACCCTCGAAACTCGCGTGCATGTGCGCCGCAAAATTTGCAAAAATAACTTTCCGTACAACTTACCGAAATTTCGCCGCTTGGTTGTGCAGGTCTGCATGTGTTGTCTCCTCTGCTGCTCAAGGCAGCGATCGCGCTCAAGGGGCTTCAATGATGCCTAGTGAATCTCTAAATATAGCAAACATGCCACCTATTGTGGGCGGCTTGGGAGGAGGCCCCGGCGTCCTGGAGGAGCTTCAGCGCCTCCCGGTCCCAAGACCGCAGGTGAGTGCCCCAAGCCTCCTCTTTCCCCCTTCTCACTTGCAGTTCAATCCCTATTGGCAGGAAAATTCCCACTTCATCTGAAAAAACACATGGGCCAATGAGCCTTCCTCTAACTGGACCTGGTCCAATGGGGATCTCGATCTCGACCAATGCCGGTGATGATGATGAGGTGATTTCGATCTCCCCTGCCACGTTCATATCTTGCCGTGTGACAAAGCAGTCGAAGAAGACGCGGAGTATCTTCTCCCTTTTCCAGACGATGAGCTCAATCGCACCATCTCCCCAATGCTAATTCTAGAGTGCTGCAGTACGCGACTTGGAAAGTGCCACAGCGAAAAGTACTAAGAACCAGGGCTGAACTCCGGGCCGCTCGGCGCCCGGCTCGTCGCCCGGGCGGGGGGCCGGGCCGCCTGGCCGGTCGTTCCGCCCGGTTGGCCACCGGGCGACCCCAGCGCATCGTCGAGGGTTTTTTTTTTTTTTTTCGTCGCGGGGGGCGGGCCTTCTCCCCCCCAAAGGAGGCCCTGTATGCAAAAAAAAAAAAAAATCTGCACCCAATGGGCGACTGGGGCAGACTGCCAGTTCCTCCCAATACCCTTATCCATCATGATCGGTCCCCTGAAAGCTCTGTTGGAGGGGTTCCCCTCTGTCTCGGCAACTTTAATCTAATAAGCAAAAAAAGAGATTTTGATTGATTTCTTTTTAAGCATATAAATATATATATTTTTTTTTCCAGAAAAAATGTTCCATACCAACTCAATTCAACCAAGGCATTGTTGGGTGGGGGGAAATAGGTCAGGAAATTCGGAGGCAGGGGAGAGTGGGATGTTGCTGGGAATTGCAGTTTTTTGTTTCACTTTTTACTTCTTGTTTTCACTAGTTCTGGGGCCCTAAACAATTTTATTTTTTTTTTTAACTTTTTTCATGAGTTTTCTATTATTCGAAGTACACACTTTATTATTCTTTAAAACTTTTTCCATGAGTTTTTTATTATCCGAAGTACACATATAAATTTTCAGGCGTTCGGGCGTTCGGCCCGTCCCAAACGATCAGAACAGATACTACACTTAATCTATTTTTAGCCAAACGGCCGAGAAAGATATAAGCACACAGCAGCTTCGCTACTAATTCATCACGCCAGCTGTACTGAAAACAATGCTGCTCCGGAACGTTTCTAAGTTGCTTGAAATGCAAAGTGCTAGAATAGCGGTGCATGGGCTGGCATTGCAAAGACAGATCAGTAATCACCGTGCAATTCTCAAAGGATGCCACTTCTGCTCAATGACGATATGTATTCATATGGGACGCTGGACCCGTTTTCCAGCAGGTGCAGCTCCCTACCAATGGAACGGAGCCATCATAAAGCGGGAACCGTGGAGTGGGTGTCTGCTCTCCTACCAGCACCCACCACCGATGTTCATTGAAAAAAAAAAAAAAACGAAAAACGAAAACATGCACCACATGGCCCCGCCACGCTTGCGCTTACGTCCACCTACCGACATGCAGAATCAGACACGCACACAAGTGCATACGTGCACACACGTCCACGATCAGGTGCACATACACGTACGCATGGTAGCATGGTACTATTCAGGCACATGAACAGGACATGTGTCCTCAATACACGCGCGTCGCGCACAAGTTCATAACGCAAAATAGCTTGTAACGTAAACTGACAACGGACTCAAATGCACGTGTCTGACGATTACGTCCCAAAAAAAAGACCTACCAACATGCAGAACCGCACATGCATACAAGTGCACGTGTGCACGTCCACGTGGCAATCTACAAGTGTGCAGACACACGCATGCACATGAACTGACACATGCAGAACCGCACATGCATAAAAGTGCACGTGTGCACGTCCACGTGGTAATCTACAAGTGTGCAGACATGCACGACAACATGGTTCACGTACACCTCCACGTGGTAATCTACAAACGCATGCACATGATCTGACACATACACAAACGTCAATATAGACACCTCAACACAATAGAGGAAACTGACAAAAGGACTCGCATGCACATCTTACGGTTACACCCAAAAAGGAAGCAAGGTACTCTACTCCTGCTGGAGGAATAACATAACCTCGAACATGAATATATGAACTTAAAAGCATGTCAAATATAGTATTACACTCGTGTGCTCGCAATCAAGCAACTTAGAGATACCCAAACAGTTGGTCGAGAACAAAATCGAGAGTGCAACTGCACTTATCAGTTCATCCCACCACCTCACCAGTGTCACCCATACACCGCTCCATACACCTATTCCAGGAAAGCGGCGGTCAAAAGCCCAACCCTCATTTCATCCGCATCGCTAGATTACTGCCACAACCAATCAATCGCCTTATTACAATCGAAAAACTCGTTGCCATGTACGTCAAGCTGAAACGTTAACCCACTCACCAACCAATCGATAGCAAGTCGTACGGTACCGCAGCGAATCACGCACTGTCATAGGAACAAACAAAAGCCAAATCCAGCAGAAACGGAAATCAAAACCCTGCCGCACATGAGTGTCGCTTAGTTTTTCCTCCGACGCAGTATATAACAAACCGAATGAAGAAATCTCCTACAAGTCCACTCCTTCCTGCTCAACCGCCCCCCACCTCCAAATATGCTTATTGATATTGATATCCCGACGAATAATCGCTTGCGCATACCAGATATCTGCAGACCAATCAGGGCATGCACTCGAAAGAGGCCGTTTCTACTACCGAGTTCTGCGCACGTGATTACCTTGAGTTGCAGCCCCGTCTGATAACCCCATTGTCGTTGAAATCCACCTTCCTGTCAGCAGTACACAAAATCGGCGATTTCAAGTCCTCGCCTAAAAAGATAGGAGATCCACACAACCCCCTGTCGAATGCCACACCAGGAGGCTCTGAAAAACGATCTACGATAATTGCTCGCAAGTCTTCTCCAGCATTTACATTACTGAGCCACAAACTGCTCCCCGTCTCTGTCCCAAGGCATGAAGGCGAGCAGACAAGTATAGATGGAGACATGCAGAAACATAACCACTCATAAAATTTAACCACAGATGGACCATGCTTTGCGCTTTATGCTCATTCACACAACGCTTACACCACCCGCATACCCCTTCCTCCTGAGTGCAGTGAATGGGGGGGTCTAACACGGCGGTGGATAGGAGTCTTAACCCGGAAGAAGCTGATGGCAGTCTGCTCCAACGACATCTTCCCATGCACTATCTATCTAGCATCCATCGGCTCTCGTCCACTTGCACCATCGTCTTGTCGTCGCATCGAGAGAAGTGACTCTGTCTGGCATCCATCGGTAAGACATCACACTTGTACCATCGTCTCGTCGTTGCATCAAGAGAAGTGATTCCCACTGTGATTTCTGAGATAAGCGCTTATATAGATCATCAAATCCACAGCTTTCGCCAGAGCAGACAGCTACTTCTCACAGGCCGTACCACCACACTACACTTAGCAGTGAGCCGTAAACGCTAATACAGGAACGTCATAAACCCCATCAAATCTCCCATGCCACCACTCTCAAACCAACCACCACTCTCTCTCTCTCTCTCTCTCTCTCTCTCTCTCTCTCTNCTCTCTCTCTCTCTCTCTCTCTCTCTCTCTCTCTCTCTCTCTCTCTCTCTCTCTCTCTCTCTCTCTCTCTCTCTCTCTCTCTCTCTCTCACCAACTCACTTTATCCTGGCCTCTCTCCTCTCCTGTAATAAACACCCAAACACAGACGTGAAAAGAAAAGGAAAAAAAAACAGATCTACCCTCCAATTCTACAACGTTGCTCAACCCTGTTGCACTTGGTAAACATTTACAACTCGTGCTACGGACTGAAATATTCCAAACCCTCTCCTCAATTTCGGTAGTCCCTCTATGGTCGCCAGTTGCTGTCCCTCCGATACAAGTGTTTGAAGCAACTCTCCAATTTCCTCACAAAAATTATGTACAGCTTTGCAACACCCGCAGGTCTCGTCGCCAGAAGCCACTCACTGCAGTCAGCGACAAATAATTAACGATCCTCGTCGTCTGTCTCCACCGAACGAACACGAAAGCCCCTTCACGACCGCACAATCCTACCAGCAAACAAATGGAAGACTTCATACTGTTATCTCCATGGCCAAATGCGGTAATACATCACAAGTGAATCAAACGACAGCCGGTCATAACCAAGTATGATACACCGTTTCTCATCTTGCCGTAGTGAAGCAAACGACAGCCGGTCATAACCAAGTATGATACACCGTTTCTCATTTTGCCGTACTTTTACGAAGACGACAACATGCATAGCTCCTGTCTACCTCTTTGCGCACCGAAAAGACCTGGACAGTGGGTAGTATCTTTGATCAACCTTAACCTTGGCTGAGGCAACCATACGCATAGAACGCCGATGAGAAGCTTAAATACCAGCAGCACCAAAAGAGGCTCTTCGTCAGCAAGAATGCCCAAGTATGATACACGAAACACCTACTGACCGACCCACTATGATGTCCCCAAGTAAAGACGTGCTGCCGACACCAGGGTCCAGTGTCCAGCGACATGGAGACAGGAGATGACGGGACGCTTTCGCAGATGATACCGCAAGCACTCGCATGCCACCGATTCAATCTCCCATCTGCTACCTGATCGAAAAAAAAAAGGGCCACCGATTGGAGAACGAGTGAGGTCAACTAACCCTATAGTAACCGTGCGAGACATCAGACACGGGGGTGTCGGGAGAGCCAGCTGGCCGCACGCAGCTTATTCTCTGACATATGAACGGGAGTCTATGGTGAGAGTGGATGACGAGGCAGCGATAATGCCTTTCAGCAAATGCAGCGACTCGAGGCATACCTATGAATAGAAACGTCTTCTCACGTTTACTCTGCGGAGAGCACGTGGAGCACGTTTCCACCACGACATGCATCACTGGCTAGACCACAGCTGACGAAGGAAGAGCCCAAGGTTAACAGCGTTGGCAGACCGCCGATTGCAGACAACAAGGGAATACAAAGAACAGAAAGGTAACGATCCCCGCTGTCGCAGTCGCACTACTATACAGTCTCGGTATCGAAAGCATACTGACGCTCCTTGCCGCAGCAACAACATACATAAACTCCGTCCGTATGAACTACGTAGTGACCACCTCTCCTCTCCTCTCCTCTCCTCTCATTGTGAAGCTTTGAAGAATCCGAGAGGAAGTCTCCCACTCAAAGCAAGCCAATATAACACACACACACAGACACAGTGATCCCTCCTCCCACCTCAGTCTGCACGAGAAACCTCACTGTTCTGGAAATCGCCACTCACCATACTTGACAGAGAACAAATGACTCTTTTCCGCAAAGTGTTAAACAACCAGTTCACCGAGCCTAAGCTTACGACGCTACCTTCCAAGGCTCGCGAACCTGCCACTGTGCCTTTTCGAAACGGCCTGCTGCTTTCGGTACCCGCCTAGGCCCGAATCAGAAAAAGAGGTCTCACCTCCTACTGTACCTTCCAATGCTCGCGGGCCTGCAACTTCGCCTTTTTCAAACTGGCCTGCCGCTTCCGCTACCGGCCAAAGCCCAAATCGGAAAGACCTCGCCGCCTAAACCGATATCTGCGTCGGGTGAACTGTCGGTTTCACATACACCTTTTCTTGAACCCCGTTGCCTGCGAGCCATCCTCAGTCAGCCAGAGTACTCCACGGCCTGCTGTTGGGCCTAACAAGTGACTGGCATTCGTTATCACCAACTAACTAGTGTACACACGATCTGCACCTACAAGACAAACAATACGCTGTCTGGTCGAAAAAGCCTTATATACCACACTTCAACTCTCGATGGCAAGCATGTCTTGCCCTTCAACGAGTTTCCTCCATTCGGGATGGAACGTCTCCTTCAGCTGGTGCGGGCAAATGTTGTTTAACAGAATTTCAGTAGTCGTCAGCAAGTTGCACTCTCCGACCCATCTCCAGCGTATTACTGGAGCCATTCCCATTGTTCCCCGAGTATGCCTTCTCGTACGGGTACTTCCGAGCTGAGAAAATAACGAGGAAAGGAGCAGACAGAGACGACAACCACATCACCAAAAGAAGCAAAAATCAGTGGCAGGACCTTGCACCCAACACGCTGATCAAACTGCAGACACACACACACACACACACACACACACACACACACACACACACACACTCACCTGCGTGAGCCCACCAACACATACACATACACCGCCATCCGCAGCATGCCCAACCACCGGCCAGCAGAGAGCCAAACGCGCGACCGCCCACCCTCCACCTTCAAACCGGAGACTGGGATAACGAAACAAGCAGCAGTTCTTTTTTGTTACTTTCGACAATTTCTCCATTTGTTTATCATCATTGTGCGAAAGCCATGCCAATCTTCTCTGCATAGGTCGAATTTTAACGGATTTCCTAGACGAGCTGAACATTTGAGGGGAAGGAAGTCCGCTTTTTTTTTTTCTTGAAGATATCAAAAAGGGGAAACTACGCGGGAGTCACAAAAACGAGTTTTTGCACTACGGACCAAGATACAGTTTCCAATTGCAGTTCGGGCAATGTATACAACCCAGCCTTCTGGCCACGTAGGGTGCCCAAAGTGCAATTGCAAACTGTATCTTGCCCCATAATTCAATTATAACTCGTTTTCCTGACTCTACTGAAGTTACCCCTATAAAAAAACAGCATCTATTTGACACTATTATTAGACTGGCCTCAACTGATGACAGCGGAGGTATGTACAGTGTGCGGAAACAGGAACTCTATCCGGAAATCATGCAGCCAAAATGCTCATTGAAATCAAATAACAATTCAACTTATTCAAGACGCCAAAATAAATATTAATAAAAAAATAACAAAGAGGCCACATTTTCCTGAAACACATCAACCGCAGAGTAGACTTGTCTATGCAAAACAAGGAACGCAATATGGATGCACATTCTCAACAGCTTTGAGTTGACCCTCTCCGCTCAAAGGCAGACATCCTTTCCACAATTGGCAAGACCAAACACGGGAGACAAGACGATGAAGGAAACAAAACGACGAGGGTCAAATAGCCATCTCACTACCTCAATATCAACCACGACAGCAATGCCTCTCTCTCTCTCTCTCTCTCTCTCTCTCTCTCTCTCTCTCTCTCTCTCTCTCTCTCTCTATCTATCTATCTATCTATCTATCTATCTATCTATCTATCTGTCTCACTCTGTGTGTGTGTGTGTGTGTGTGTGTGTGTGTGTGTGTGTGTGTGTGTGTACCTAGGAGAGATCAGAACAAGATGGAATCAGAGGATATGCATACGTACTCGAGAGAGTCTCCGCCAGCGTATACCCAGTTGTCTCACTCCTCTTCTTATAGAGGAAGCCGCCGACAGCTGCCCCGACTAATAAGATGAAGCCAACACAACCGATAACCACGCCTGCAACTTGGCCGCCACTAAGGTGGTGTTCCCTTCTTCTCCTGCCAGTGACATTAGCTATGACTGCACACTCTGGAAGGCCATCGTATCCGCAGAGACCTGGGTTGTTGGCGAGCCTGTGAACAGTTTAACAACAAAAAAGGAAGCAACGCCACAGAGTCAAAGAACGACTTGAGATGCACAAAAGACATACCGACAAACAACTACAGGAAAAAAAAAAAGGAAAACGAAACGGAAGTAAAAGTCCAAAATGGAAAGCGAGAGGAGGGGGGGACGGGCGGAGGCGAGAAAGAGGGAAGAAGAGAAGAGGAAACCGCGAGAAATGACAGGAAATCTGCATCCCAGGTTACCTGTTCCCCAATCAACCCCCTCCACCTCCCCCCCTGTCCAGGGTTGCTCGGCAGACGGGATTCAATCAATATCAGCAAAGACAATACGACCTTTCACGCTGATTCTGAGGGACGGAACCCAGTTTTGAAAATGGAAGTAACCGGGCAATGAAGGCATCTCACGTTTCAACAAGCATTGTTCAAATGTTAAAATTTATCTTGTCGTTGCATAAAATCAGTACAAACCCAACCCACATGGCTCAAACGTATATACGCATGAACTGTCGACACAAACAAGACATGTTCGAATGCTGATGATAGAATCGGACGAATAATATGACCACTCTGAATTGCCTCGGGTTGTCCAGGTCTAGGACAAAAAAACAAAACAAAAAAACAGAAGTTGCAAGATAATTGTTGGTTTTGAAAAAGAAAATGGAAAGCAGGCGGCGACTCACAGAATCTTCACGTTCTTCCTCGAAGCCAAGTCCGCCGGAACAGGCCCATTCAACTGGTTGTCATTCACAGTCCTGCATGCATACAAAAGACGGAGAACGAGCGACAGAGGATGGAAAGCGGCGACAAAAGAGGACAGAACGGGCGACAAGGGTCAATCACGAGGACAAGAAAAAATTTGGCAAGGGCAGAGGATGGAAAGCGGCGTTCATCGCAATGAAAAGGACACACGAAGGGCGACACGGGTCTACCACGAGGAAGCAATTAGCCTTCTTCATACAGAAAAAAAAGCATCCAACTCAAAGAAGTCCACTTTCCTGTCCCACACACCCATCATCACAGCCAAAAGAACAAAATCCGTGCAAGGGTCGCTTCCAGGTGCTGTCTACATGCGATGGAGAGCAAAGTTTAGGAATATTGTGGTATTATGCCTTCCAAGTGTATGGACAGTCCTCATGGACAGTCTCCCTCTTGCCCATCACGGTGAACCTGTGAGAAAAAACGCTACCATTGTACTGAACTCTCATTCAGCTTGCCGATTAACAGCAGAACCTGGCAGCTAACAGCCAGCCCCTGACTGGACGACTCACCTGCCTCGGTGAAAACTAGGCACGCTCGATGAGACAGGGCTCGGATGTGCTCGCAGTTATATTATGCGACGACGTGCAAAGGTCGTTTATTGTATGATGTGGAAAGAATCGCATGGCACGAAAGAAAGAAATAAACGATAAAGGCAAGAACTGAAACGCGAAAAGAAGGAAAGAAAAAGAAAAGCAAAAGGTACAAGAAAGAAACAAGAATCAAAAACAACAAAAACAAAGAATATTTCATTGCACACAACAGGAGGAAACAAAAAACAAAAAGTGGGTCAGCGATACTCAGAATATTTCAGTGCACACAACAGGAGGAAAAAAAAAATTAAAAATTAAAAATAAAGTGGGTCAGTGATACTCACACATTCGCAAGACGAGGAATGCTGCTCAGCTCGTTGGGAATTGGTCCTGAAAATTGATTGTGGGAAAGATCGCTGCAAGAGGACGCAACAAGGAAAACCCACTGTCAAGATCATATTCACATCACATCGATCATCTGGCAAACATGAGAGGGACAAAGCAGCAAGGCCCCTTTTTTGCCGTTTGTTTTTAATGTGCATGAATTCGTGAAGTCCCATGACCCCTGCGCAAGGATGACAAACATAAATTGAGAAAGAGTCCCAAAAACAAAAAGCAATCCTGAAGTGTTAAGCCTTTTCAACCCCCGCCCACAGAATATGTCAACAAGAGCGCAGCATTTCGCGTGTCCTCTTACACATAGCCCACCATAACCAAATAGTTTTTACATTAATTAAAAAAAAAGGAGACGGCCTTGAGATATCATCGTGGGACTGACCAGCCTGATGTAACTCAGAATGATTTTATTCTGATGAACTGATTGTATCTGGATTTGAACTCGGAACTGTATTTCAACACTTCACGAGTGCCAACTGAGTCAGGCCCGTTGCTTTGCCAATGAAGGATTTCGCATAATAAAACGAATCGACTACAACACGTTTCCAATACCTGCATCGGCTCCAACTAGCGTGATTGTGCCACAGCCCGCTTACTTAATTTCGCA